GGCAAAAATTACCATGGCAACATGCTGAATGCAGGCTCAAGCGTGACTTTACGTTTTTCAAAGTCTTTTCAAATGCTCTACAAGCGAACAATGCATGATTTGGCAAGTTCTATGCTTGAGAGCACTTCTTTGTGAAGACATAGAAAATTGTAGCATATAAAAAAGAAGGTTTATGAACCGTACTATTTCGATTTCAACTTACGTTTTGATAACCTCATTCTGCTTGGCCCGTTGTTTCTCTCTTGACTTCCGTACAGCAATGTTGTTTCGTTTACGAAGAGCAATATACTTCTCCTCTTCCATGTGAAGTACACTGGATGGTTTTCCTCTCAAAGTCTTGGTTCCGCCACCACCAGTTGTGGAAGCAGCACATGAAGCAACACCCCTCCCCATTGTGGGTTCCATCTTGATCATACCAGCCGTCAAATTATTCTCTTGTTGCTGCTGCTGTCGTACGTAATCGTCGCTTGACATAACTGTGATGGGACTTGTACAATGGGCCATACAATTGAACATCACGTTCAAGGCGCCTTGCTCTTAAACAAATCCGCTCCAGTGATTGGTAAGTCAACTGATTGGCTCAGACATTTTGGTCCAATCAGCTGTGGAAGATGAGTTGGCATTGGCAGGTGCCTAATGCATTCTGGCTCGTGTGGAGTCTTTGCTGTGGGGTTATTTTATGTGAAAGGTGCTTTCACGTCGAATGGATTCAATCGATAAATTACTTGATAACCTAAATTGTCTGCTGGTTTTATTTATTTTGATTTATTCTGGGAGTTTGTCGGATCGAAGCGACAGGACATACATTTTTGGGGCGGTGGGACTAAAAAACAATAGCCAGTCCCCTGCTAGTAGCCTTCTCCTGCAGCCACTAGGCCCAAATCCCTTTCTAGTGTTGAAATTTGTGAGGCGGTTATTTTGTCAATGTCGATCCCTTAGGCAGCGATATCCATCACATTTAAGTAGTGTCAGCTCCGTTACTCGCTAACAATGGACAAAATCTCTCTCAAGACTAATTGACACTTTGTTCTGACAACAGACTAGCAATTTTTGCTTTAACTTTGCCGTATACCTCTTAATCACAGTGTTCTGTTCCCTGAAGTGTGCTGAATGTATTTAAGGAGACTGATATTTACCTCTCATCCTCGTTTTCTTTTGACATAAATTCTGGATTAAGATCGATTCTCTTCACCCACAGTTCAGGAAAATCAAGCTCACTTAAGTATTTTATACAATAAATTCATCTTTCCAAAATGAAAACAAGTGTTTAGCTTCCGTCGCCTTTCAACACCCATGTTCTGTCCAAAATTTTCTGAAACGGATAAAACAAATTCACATTTGTGGTATGTTTATCGGTGTACAAGGTCTTGCACTCGCCATTAACACCAGCAACCACTTTGAGAATGGCTTTTTTAATTTGCTGTCAACTGGTGCTTTAAAGGTTTTGCATTTATGTCTAGACAAAGTGAAGTTATCGTGCCTAAGGTAGTTGGAAGTGGAAAAGCCCTTACCACGTTATCTTGGCTTCTTGCTCTGCCGCATTACTGTCAACTTCTTCCCTTTATTCAGGGTGCTATTCTTTACCATATACGAGACTTGAGAAACCGAGACTGGCAGACATGAAAAGGGGTAGGCAGGGCTCTAAAACCAAAGCTATTACACATCATGAAAGGAGGCGATTATAACTCTCTAGACTTGTAACTTTCTGCTCCCACGTTCAGCTAGGCAACCAGCCCCATGCGAATGCGACCCAGCGAGCCTTTCATCTAAAGCCATATAGCGGTGGAGTATTAAGGTCACAGTTAAAAACACACAAGGTATGACGTAGAGCCATTGATTTGTGTGTCTCGGTACAATTTTCTGCATTGAGAAATAAGTTGGAGTGACAGACAAATTTGCATCTATGCTCCCCGCATTAAAGGTGTCGATACAGAAGAAATGAGGACGGAGTAGGGTCAGAATCTTGGGCTGCCTCCCATTGTGTAGGGCATTAGGTTATGCGTACAGTTTTTTTCCTCAAGACGAGGAGGTTTACGAAAAAGACAAGGTGTCAATGTATTAAAACTCTCTACATCTCTGGTAGGGAAGACGTGTCCTGTGGAAACCAGTTACAGTTAGTAGAAGCTCGCTTACTAAAGCCTTACCCCATTCAAAAGTTAGGTTAAAAATTACACTAAGATAGAACCGTCAACACGCGGTAATTGTATGTAGCGAAATTCTACTAAAAAGTAAAACTCATTAAAAGACATCGTCGTTGCGACTTAACCCGACATTTTGATCGGTTGATTCTGATTTTTGTACGTAAACGGTGCTTTGTAGATCTCAAGGAACTATAAGAATTACAATTTACAAATGCAGTTGACTCAACGTAGAGACTAATGTGTAGGGAATTATGGCAAGGGCAGTTCTGCCATCACTTATTTTGATGGATATTCATGATAACATTAAACTTACCTTTAAGAGTGTTTTATATTTTGGCTGCTTAAGCTTTGAAGAACTTAGAACAAGCAAGGAAGTTGCGCTGTTATTAGGCAAAAATTTCAAAAAATAATAATGTTTAAAGGGCCTTGTATTAAAAAGTTTCCTATTGAGTTAAAGCCCAGAGTATCCAAAATAACCGAAAATCGAGGGCATTTGGATAAACATTCGGCGCTGTAGATAATTTATGTCACAAAAGTAAAAGTTGCTCCATAGAGCGCTTGCCGTAATGCCTTTAATCCGATGACGGAGCAGCATAACGACACTTTGGAACCATCCAAGTATTAAACGATATCTTATTCCACTCTTTAGCATACGTACGTTGGTTAGAATGCGCCTCGTATATCAAAAGTAGATTGTCATTGCAAAACTCTTTCTCGAGGGAATTGACGCTTTCCCAGAACACGAATATGCCCCTTTCCTTCTTCTGTACGCTGCACCTCGCATTGTCAATGCTTATACCAACTTGAACGTAAAAAAGTGCAGCAGGGTCCCATGGAATCAATCCGGTGGAAGCCTGACACCAGCGCTGTTAAAGCTACGTACTCTTACACCCCAAAACCTTTAAAGGCACAAAACCAACACGTATGCAAATTGGTTTAAAAAAACTGAGACACAGCTACAATAACGAAATTTCAGGGAAGACAACAGACATTTTACGAACGACTTAGTAGATTAAAATATATCAGAAGACTAAAGTTGCCTTAATGTTAAATGTTCCTAGCTTTAGCAATTAAATCGTTTACTTTACTTAAATATAACTTAAAAGTTGTACATCATATACTGACTTTAATAAATTTATCCTAAGTTGTGTTTTTGTTTATATCTGTCATTTATACAGTGATTTTTTCTCCTATAACTTTTGCACGTTCAAAAAAAGTCAACTGTGTGAGGTGAGGTCGCGCCTTGCCGTTCACGTTTTTTCTATGGGTTTTTTGACATTTGTAGATGTAGCTTTTTGGAGACATCAATTCTCATCGGTGCTCCACTATTCGTTGCAAATAACGAATTCAAATTTGCTATTATCGAGGAGTTCCATTTGAATAGACAACTTTTTGTTTCATGGATTGAAAATAATGTTCTTTTGGTAAATTTAGGCTTCAATATTGATATTTATTTTAGGTGTCTACTAATAAACCATAAGTTTTTCTCTGCTTTATGCACATGGTGGATTCACTCTTCCTACTTCAGAAGGACGCATTTACATGCCTTTGCAACATAAACTAGTGTCATTATTTTTCTTCTTGTCATTCCATCTACTGTACCTTTTAATTTTATGTTTTTCACTCTGCTTGTTTTCACCGTAGTTGTGGAAAGCTTGTCGTACATTGTTCGATAGGGATTTGATTGCACTTTTCTCTTTATCGCTAGGTTAGCGCTCTCGTTGCTAATTTTTCGAAAGAAAGAAGGGGTGCAAGAACGCTCGCATTTGTTTTACCAGGTTCTCACAACGGATTTTCCAACCTCAATGTCCGATTTATTCCGAGGCCGGGCATCCACCTGGAGCGCCGGTGCTCCCACCTCGGACCACGAATCCGACGCTCCGCGAGGTTTCGATTACACAGATGCGGCAACGGCTACAGCTGCTGCGGCGCTCGCTCTTCGTACCGTCACTGCCTCCACCTCTGCCGCCACTACACCCGCCGACCAGCCACCCAACAACAGTAATACCGGAGGTGTCGGGGGCTTTCACTACTCCCCGTCCACTGCGGCCGATATTGGTTCTCAGGAATTTTCATCTCGTCGTCTCGTTGCCGACAAAACTCCCGAATCAACCACCTCTGACTATCCGCAAAGCTTTTTCGCTAACACTGCTTCCTCACCGTCCCGTGGCTCGAGAGAATGGAATGCGAATAGTGGCAGTGGTAGTGGTGGTGGCTTTCAGTCCTCAAATTTCTCAGTTTTGTCCGTCGCCGCTTCATCACCCTTCGGCCATCATGCAGATGGTGGTGGTGGCCTTCTAACGCCCTGTGGCGGTGGCTATGGCAGCTCCTCTCCCTACGCTAACGGTTCGTGTCCCCAACCCCAACAACAGCAGCAACCAGGGTTGCATTCAGGTTCGCCAAGCTCGGTGGGAAGTCAATTATCCATCCCGCAGCCGAGTTTGATGAGTACACAGGGTGGGATGGCGCCTGCGGCAACAACAACTGGAGGGGGTGGTTCTGTACCAGCTACCGCTACTACCGGTGGTGGTGGTGGTTCCGCTGCTAAGAGGCCGGCGCGCAGAAATCCCTGGGGTTCGGAGACCTATTCGGACCTCATTGCTAAGGCGATTGAATCGTATCCAGAGAAGCAGGCAACATTACAACAGATCTACGACTACATTTCTACAAACTATACCTACTTCAGGGAGCGTAGTGATCCACCTGCCTCAGCTGGATGGAAAGTGAGTACTGGTTCTTGTGGGTGAGATAGTCGAATTTCGTGATCTGGCAGCACCATTGATGAAGTATGTTATTTGAAACTCTTGACGGCATTTAAAATGACTTCACGCCTTACCTGGTGGCAAAGCCAGTCACTTAAGTCGGTGTTATCGTTCCTTTCCAATTTACTTGCATTGCCAAGAAGGAGAGCCGAGGGAGAGGCAGAAAGACGAACACTTTTTTGCGCCTGCAAACACGATGTTCACGCGGTATGATGTATACACTGTGCTAAAAATACACTACAATAGGAAAGATGTCATCGGAAAAAAGTGGATGAATGAACCATTTTTAGGCTTTCTTATCTTTAAGCACAAAACTTGGCTAGTTTAATTAGTTAATTTTTGTAGTATGGGTATTTTAATGCAGCCTTCCAAGTCATGGGATCGGATATTCTCTGGACTCCTGAATTTGATACGGTGGGAAGCAAATGCAGCATTATCATGTTCCGTTTTTTCTGAAAAACCAACGTAAACGCGATAGCACATCAAGCATTTCATTACCTTAGACTCGTTGTACGATTTCGGCAAACTCTGACACCGCAAGGCCGAAGGCAAGGAACTTTAAGGACATCTCGACTTCGCTAGCCTACTTAATAAATTCTTTTCGATCCGCTTGAATTTAATTCTTTTGGCGCATTTATGGGGTTTATTTTATGAAAGAATGGCGGGAAAGGCATAAGTTTAGCCTCATCAGTTACCAACATGAAATCAATCATTTTAGCCTTTCAGTTCAGTATTTCAAATCACCAGAGTTTCATCAAATCGCTGCTATCTAATGTAACTAAGGGTTATGTATAACTTTGCTTGCCCTGCCGATTCAGATTTAGGTTAATTTATTTTAGTCCTTTTAAGTTTTAAGCTGAGAGCAAGAAATCCTTCCGAAAGCAAACTGTGAAATTTTCGATCTGTTTAACCGATCTGTCCATCCACCTTTTTAGTTTCTTCCCCCAGGGCATAAGAGCGGATTTAATTTTTGGCTAGAGGCAAATGTAAAAACGCGGCTCTTTGGGCAAGGAAAAGCCACACAAACCCTTTTTCAAGCTTGTTAAACGCTCTATTGGAGAGATTATAACGAAATAGCTATCGGTTCAGCCGCTTTGAGTTCTGGGGTCAACTTCTACTAGGGAACCACCCAAAATGGCGAAAGAAGTCACTCATTCTCATGAGTGGTTCAATAAAATGTGGCATTAAGTTGATCGTCTCAGTCCCCTTCCACCTCTCCCTCTCCCTCTCCCTTTCAGAACTTTAGGGTTAAGATTATTTGATCCTAGGCGTTCTAACAAATTCCAATTTTGAAGTGCTGGTGCCCATGGAAGGAAGCAACATCGTCCAATGAAAGTTACCTTTGCGTAAAGGGAGGACGAGATAATAACTTCAGTCGTCTCAAGATTAAAACTACTGGACAGTTTTATCATGAGGCATCAAGGTGGTGAGACGTTGTCCTTCTTCGAATTATTCCAAATAGGGATGGTGCGTTGACCTCTCCAATCGCTAGAGTATGAGGCTCGGTGGATTTTAAACACTGAACTGAAAAAAAAACAACAAATTAAATGTCGATCACTTTATCTCCTCACAATTCTTTCTTTTCTCGTGATCAGTGGTTTCATTCAAGACGCTTTGTTTGATTGTTACGATGAGTTGCTTTTTTAATGTTGCTTGTATGCTCTTCACTTAACTTTTTCCAACTTACAATATTAATTTCACTTACTCAGAGCATAGTGGCTCTGGTATGAAAAAAAAAACCAGTAATTCATTAAGATGAAACCGAAAGCTACCCAATTTTTGATTGGTCCAAATCACACGCTTCTACGATCTAATGTTTTTCACTTTACTTCTCCTTTTTGGGCTTCGAATTTGACTTATAGGAGTTTGTGGATTTTGCAGACACGGAGTACGGCAGAAAACAAGACATACATACATACATACACACACATACATACAAAGGCTCCTTTGCATTTACGCGTGCGCGTGCGCACCCAATCACTTGAAGGTCAAACACTGGAGGTATGTGCATGCGCTCTCTTGCAGCCTCTTCCTCTGCCTCTGTCAGTCAAGGCCATCCCGTACTTCTTAGTGGTGCGTGTGTGCACACAGCCTCGAAAGTGTGAATCCGCTTCACATCTTACATTCGTGTGTGTCCCAATGTGTGCATGCGAGCGCGTGACACCCCTCCCCCTGCATCCTTGACCCTGTAGGCCTCGCCTTCCAGTAAACATTTCCTTCTGGTCAAGCCACGGGGATTTCTTCTTGTTGTTTTGCTTCGCTCTGCATCAACATAACTCCACTGGGATGCTGAAATAGCCTAACAGGCTCCATATTTTACCGCTTAACCTTTGGTTTTCAAAGGCCCCCTATTGGTAACTAGCATAAACCGATGGAGTCTCTGAGTCGCCGTTTACCATGGCAAGGCGAGGAGTTAAAGCTGAACGATTCCGATTACTTCGAATGATTACAGCATTGGCAAGATCCACAAATTCGGTATCCAAATATCCCTTTTCTTTAACGCATCAGTACAATGGTCAGTCAGCTAAGTGGGGTTGTTAGTATTCAACAATAGATTGGCTTGCTCATACCGCCAATTTTGTGTTCGTATCTCTTCTGCGCCGCAAAAACTGGGTGTACCATAAATGAACAGATCCATATACTAGGTTGCACTCAGAATTGGACAGTCCCGGTATTGCAGAGCTCGGAGTGTATGGTAATTTTGAAATTCAGTATCAACTTTTCAGACGCATTCGTCTACGTAAGATGGCAGTTTGACAATGCTCCAGCACTCTATCCATTCCCCAAGATGCATAATTCGTTTACCATTGGCATCAAGACAATACCACGTCTTGAAAGTTATTTACTGAAGGACTACAAGGGACCGACCATCGACTCCAAGAGCTCACGCAATGAATAATAAAGTTAACTAACGAGAAATGAGGATGAGTTTGCTGTCAGTGAAAGTCACGTGCTCTGATCGTATCAATTGACAAGTCACTCATCAAAAGTGACAGCTAAGTTCATATAATTGATATCAAGATAGTCCTCACCTTTGTCCTCGCCTCCTTACCCTCTCCTCACAAAATTGTCTCGTGTGACAGAAAAAGTGGAAGGAATGATAGAATCATGCTTAATCCTTCCCTCTCCTTCCATCCACCAATCAGGTGGTGATAGGTGAATTCAATAAGTGAATGAATGGGGATGAGGAGAGAGGTGAGCACCGACGGCCACGTGATCTAGTTTATCCTCGCCGAGCTGCGCTACTATCACCACAACCAAAATCATCACCTAAAGCCTCCACTATGTGTGCGTGTGTCTGTCTCTTCTACCTCTCTCGGTGCGTCACCTAATTTTCGCGACCTTGGGCCGGCCAATAGCAGGTCGCGTGATGCAACGTAAAGTACTCGTTGCCAAAGTCGCTACCGCCGTAGCGCAGCATAACCAGCGTAGCACGACGCGGTGCGCGTCTTACCTTGTATCGCCTCTGGTCACGCGACCTGCACACCTACCTACTTGCTTCTGGATTCACTAGTCTCCGTTCCCAACAACGTGACTACGGCTAGGTAAAAGTGCATCAGGTCAAGGTCTTCCAAAACCATGGTAACCGCTTTCATTAGCCTCGTGCCTCGTTGTTTCTTCCTACCTGATGTGCTTTTTTTGGTTAGGTGTTAAATTAATCCAGTCTAACATATATTCGTATTTTATTAAAGTCTATCTCTCATGCATGCGCTCTCAGATCATTTTGGGTGTCGAAACGGAACATGCGCACAACTGATCCTAGGGGCCTCTCAGACAGGTGACAATAAAATAACCACAATTTTTGCGCAATTGTGTGGTGAAAATTTGCTAAACGTTGCCTATTATTGCATCAAGAGTGTGCGCTTATCCAGTCGAGCGAGGTGGTAAGAGTAAAAGCGCGGTAACCACTAGGTAATTATCAACCTTCCAGTCAATATTTTATAGGACTCTCAAGAGAAGAGCAAGGTCCTTCGCTTTCTTCTTGTTAGATAGATCACTAAAAAGTTTAATCTGACTCTATTCGCTCCTCTATCCACCGACCATTCAATGGCCCTTTTCCCTTAGAACGACCTTAAAAAGTACACACCCCAGTGAAAAATACAAGGTCAAGGGCGCTGTCACTATGGTCCATTATTGACTTCACTGGCCAAGCTCAACCAAGGCGAATTTTCGGTCCCCTGGCTGTGAGACGTGGGATAGGTGGAGAGGGGGGCATCTATTTTTTCTACCAGCATGCTGGTAGCAGCGGCAGCAATCGGGTGGAAAGAGGCTGAGCTTTTGGACAAGGTTGTTGTACGCCGCGGCAGCCCGCTGTCGTCGCCACCACCATTGCTGCTTCTGCTGCCACCACTACGACGACTCAGAGGCAGCAGTAGTCGTTGTCGTGGCCGTCGTCGTACGTCCTTGTCCAGAAATTATTCCATGTGTGCGCGCCTTGTCCGAGCCGTCTGTGTTGCCTTGCACGGCGTTACGTTAGTAGTGCGTCTGCGCGTGCTTATCTGCGTGCGCGCGTGAATATACGGGTTGAACGGCGCGGGCTGACAGTCAAAACAATTCACCCATCGCACTCACATCTACACGCCCACACACACTCCCCCACCCCCTGCCGTTCGCCGTCGGTCGGTGGGTTGGTCCGTTCGTCCGTCCCACCTCTGTCCCATCGCATCGCGCTGCGCTGCGTTGCGTCGAGCGGCTGGCCAATTTGTTCCGACAAGTGCGTAAACACGCACACACGCGATTCACCCCCCTGCCGCCCTTCTGCTCCTTCCCCCTTCCTCCCCCGCTGGTCTGTTCCCTCCTGGGGCGGGGCAGACTCAGACACGATGCGCGTGTTCTCCCTTTCTGCGTGTGTGTGTGTGTGTGTATACGCGTCTCTGAGCCGGTTTTCATGCATTATTGAGACAGCATCTCGCCATACCTCTCCTTTTCTTTAGTTAGTCTTTCGCTGCTATTGCCTGCGTCCCTGAGCTGAGTGCGAATTCGGTGTGTTATGCGCTCACCAACGTCTACTTTTCAACTGCCTACTATGTCCGTCTAAGCGAAGCATCGTGACTCCTGATGCCCATCGCTTGAATGCGCTTATCGTTGGTCCTAGACTGTCTCAAGTAGACTTTAAATTGAGGCAGCAGCAGTTTACGCACCTTCATGCGTTCAGACTTCTCAACTTCTTCATTCTGTTGTGTTCATGTGAAGCTCCCTTGCAAGTTGTCATGAGCATGTGGCAGTTGTGGTTACCTCGGTTCCCCTTTGGTGTCTACCTTTTTAACCAAACAAGCTTCTAGTGACCTCTATCACTTATCTATCGAGAATCGGCTTTAAAAATCTGAAGTTTTTCTTGCCTTTCTCCCTTCTTACATCATGTGTTAGCCAAGCTAAAGTCTCGTAGTCGAAAAGTAGAAATACAGGACGAGTTAAATGAGTATGGAAGGGGGAGGGGAGGCGAAAAAATCGGGAGGTGTAAGGGAAGGGAAAAACTGTCACTTGAATTCACGTGACCACTAACGATTAGTAGTTAGCTCTCCTAAACACGCCACCGTTGATCACTGTCGCATGACTTTTATGTTTTCCCCTATTACAAAATTTTGCCTAAATACATCATCCGAAATTCTCTTGCTATTCTTATTGTCCGTTTCTTTACCTACGCACAGCCTAGATTGGATTTACCAACACTCTTATTTGTAAGATAGAATCTTGATGATCAAGCAGGGTGGATGCATAACACCCTGTTGCTCAAGTTGTCTCCGGAATGGCTAATGTGGTTTGTTTTGAGGTTTGTCCACTGTCTGCGTTATGATTGTTGATCGGAGTGAGAAGCGTTAGTGACAGCACTGATACTCATTGATACTAGTCGGTTGTGAAATTTGCTACTACCATTTAGGGCTGGATAAGAAGTTTTGATGCCTACTCTTCGATTACTCCACTTTCTTCCTTTCGAGACGTCTTTTTAATGATCTGAATAGTCCTCTCGTGAAAGGTTTATTTTCCTTTTTTTATTCTAGCCTTGTTTCAATGGTGGTGTTAACTTATGACGCCAATTGTCGCCTATTATCCGCTATTATTCATCGCTGAAGTTAAGAGGTTCTGCACAATTTGTGAACCTTTCGTCAGCTTTGATTCAGTCTTTTACCCTTACAACTCTTTCGTAATGTTGAATTTTCTCAATGTGTAAGATTGGATAACTAGATTCAAACTTCTCAAGAGAATCCGCAAGGTTTTATCAATGCCAATAGTTTAATGTTGTAACTTCTTCTTTCTCAATTTAGAACTCAATACGGCATAATCTATCACTTCATGACAAGTTCGTCAAGTGTCCAAAAGCTTCCGAGAGTTCTAAGTCCTCCTACTGGCGACTCAACGCCAACTCTCTTAACCGTCCTTATGTGCGTCGGCGAACTTGCTCCTTGGACACACCAGGAAACGTTGCTGGTGGTGGTGGAGGCGGTGTCGGGGGTAAAAAGGCGAAGTCCCGTCTTGGAGGTGGAGGTGGCGGGGCAGCGGGTACCACATCAGCTGCCAAGCGTGCTGCGCAGATGGCCGCTGCTGCCGCTGCCGCTGCCGCTGCTGCAGCAAGTGGCGGTGGTGGTGGGGGCGGAAGCAGAGGAGAGATGAAATCGGGCGGTGGATTGTACTGCGGCGATGATCTTCTCGCCAGTCTGCAGTCGGGAGGGAGCTCAACTGCCGCCGTCCGGTCTCATCTAAATAGCCTTTCCTCGGGCATCGCGAGTGCCTTTAGCATTCCCGGTGGCGGAGGTAGCGACACATTGCTTGGACTGAAACCTGATCCTGGATCAGCACTAAATCACCATCCTTGGACTAACTCGGGTTTCCTCACCGATCGGAAACAGCCCAATGAAGAGCTTAGTGCTTTATGGTAAGTGATGTAGCTTCTGCTCTCACATGACTAATTTTAGGGATGTAATGTCCATCCTTTTGTTAGCAAGTTAGCATCAAGTCGTCGCCCTGATCATCGAAATTTACAGACTTCGTTAATAATTGTAACGTCTCACCTTGTAGAATTCGTGTTTCATAGTCTAAAAACTGGATATGAAAGTTCTATGGAAATGATTGACCGACTGGTAAAGAAAAATTGCACTGTTAAACTATCAAAGAATTGATGGACGAAATTCAATTTTGCCGCAGATGTGTCACCTTTTCACTTAAGTAAAACCTTGTTTTCTATTCATTTGTTTTGACCTATAGCAAAATGCAGGGAAACGATTCGGTCAGTTCGAGCAGTTTAAGCTTGATGAGCGGTGGCGGTGGCTATGAGTTTCAAGTTCCGCGTCCACCTCCCTCCTCCTCCACGCGTTCAAGTTTTTCCTCCTCAGGGATTGGTAGTGACAGAGGTTCCTCGTTTTTCTCCCCTCCTCCACCACCACCACCGCCACCACAATCGAGTCGGTATCACCACCACCATCAAGCCTTTTCCCACGACCAGCAGCAGCGGTATGGATCCCTCTGTGATGCTTCTCCCACCGCTGCCTCTACGAATACCACTCCCACCACGACCTATGATCAGCTGACGGGTATCCTCACCGGATCAGCCGAGTGTCTAGATGGGGGTGCAGATCCCTTCCTCCGCGACGATCAGCATCAGTTGCAACACCATCAACCCCCACCATCGCTGCCGCATCACCATCATCATCACCACCATCATCATCATCAACATCCACCACCGCCACCACCAACAAACTCACACCTCCACAACCTCTTGATGTGCGGTGATTCGTCAGGCGGGGTGTCGGGTTCAGCATTACCTTCAACGATCCATGGAGGTAGTGAGCAGCAGCAACTGCTAAGTTCTCAGGACGCTATGGAGCTGCGAATCAGCCTTGAGATTGCGAATAGGGTCAAATCAGGCGAAATGAGCAGCACCATGCAACAGTGGGCGGCAGTGGCGGCATCGGCTGCGCGGACTGTGGAGAATGGTGTTTGATTTCACGCACACTGTCACATAAATAAACCAGCACCCAGGAATCCTACCCTGTTCCTTTCCTCCTCCCAATTCTTTCTCGCTTGATAAACCTTGGTTTTGTTCTCAGGGCGGCAGCGGCAGCAACAACAGAAGCAGTAAATTTAACAATGAGAAAAACACCATCATTAACTACTAAATGTCTCTGTCCACTCCCTGTCATTAATGAACGCAGTCTCATTTATCCTACCCATTCTACTCTACTCTCTATCTCAGGCAACATTTGACTTCTTTTTGTGTTGATGCTGCGATCTTGTGTTTTGATGTAAATAAGCCTCAGGATGATGTTGATGTGTTCAGGTTCTCTTTACCGATCCTCGCTCCCCCTTCGTACTTGGACCAGGGGAAAGGGAGGGGTGAAGTGGATGGACGGACGTCAGATTCCCATACCAGTTTCATTGTGATTGTGTTCGCCATACCCCGTTCCCCTCGTGTACCGCTCCCTTCATCCGTCCATCCTTCACTCCGCAGTCATATGGCCTCGCTCTCATATATACACAGACATATTTTATTATACCATCTATATATGCATACACATATTCACATGCAGGCGTTCTCATCCTCCACGGACTACATCATATAGCTTCGCGTCCAGACACCCTCGAATCCAGCTATTTCAAGACTGGTGTGTATGTGTGTGTGCGTGTGTGTGCGTGTGTGTGTGATTGTCCACCTCGGTTTTTTCTTTACTCCTCTACTTCTTTCCCCTGTTATTATTTCTACCCCTTATTCTTAATCCTCTTGTCTTGCCAGCCAGCCAAAAGCCTGCCTTTTTTCCTGCACTCCCAGTCTGTCCTATTCCCTCTCTTGCCACTAAAATTTTGATTCATTAGTGAGAAACTACCAAACATGCGTTCTTGCTAAGCATCCTATTTAATATAAACTAACAATTCAACAGACACGGCTTCTTCTCATTGTCTGAGATTGTCCTATTGTTGAGTTACTAACTGACTACATTGAATTTCGATGGATGGATTTTGACTAAGGCTCGACATTAACCGTTCTCTTCAATAACATCGTCCAAGTTATGGAGCGAATTGGGAGAGGTAGGGAGAGGGATGGAGAGAGTTGAAATTTGTGAGACGCGGAGGGAGTAGCTCATCGTAGGCTCATTCCATACCCCATGTCCGACAGGACTGCTATCTGCCTGCTATGTCTAGCGCTAGCCGTCCAGTCACGTGGATGACACGCGTTCCTTTATCTGATTATGCTGAGTGGTTGTACTAAATTACTATCTTGACTAGACGGTTAAGCTCATGTCAATAAATTGAATCCGAAGTACTAGCAGTCTGAGACGGGTAATTGTGTAACCTTGCCTTTGGAGTAACCGTTGATTTGGTCAAATGAACTGATGACAACTGGCATCACATGAGAATAATAACGGTGTCATAATTGCGGCTGTCGATTTTGGCTCTAGGTTTTAAGGTCCAGTTAAATAGACTGGCTGCTGGAGGTGTGAGATTTGCAAGTGCGAAAAGTGAGGTTGTTATTAAGCTTAGTTGCGGAGCTCAGTATCGCCTGCGTAGTGGTTTGAATTTCAGTCTCAGTGATTTGCCTTTCGGTGTCAGGGACGAACTGAGAAAGCCTCTTCATACGGCAATGAGGACCTAAACCAATTTCACGAATTTTCACTCTAGCTTCCCAATTTGCCCTGTGTTCTCTTTCATTGTATTCATATTGAAGGGATCGTAGAGTGATCACATTACAATACGCTCTCCAAGTAACAGCTAGCTCTGATGACACAGCTTGATGGATGTCAAATTTCGATGAAACTACTGCAATTGCGTCACAAAATAATTGAATTGTTTTCTAATTTGTATAATCAAGGTGACGTCTGACAAAGAATAATGCCTTCATAGTCCATTATTGTCAAGGCGGAACTACTAATTGAATGGCAAGGTTCCCTCTTGGTTCAGCCTCGACGACTATGCCAGGCACGGATCTTGAGTAAAAGCAGCGACCTATCATGGTTTTAAAGAATATTATACATGGCATAGCAGGAGATGTACACCTACCACCATTATTACGCCAGAATTAGAAGGCATGCAGTCTCATATTAACAACAGGTCAGAACAAATAGTGTAGAAAGTAGAACAAAGCGGATGACAACTCGAGTTATGGACAAACCTTGAATCTTCAAATTTGAGTAAATCATACCTAACGTAGACAAATATTATGCAGTAGAGATGTAGGTGTGATAGTTATGCCGTTTTTGCTCACTGACCTTTCAGGGCAAGTTCAGGATTGTAGCAAATCGGAGGCGTTAGCCAAAACTGGATTTACCCGTTGATCACTAAATCAGCATTTTTGTTTCGAATTTGATGAGTGCGATATTGCACAGGTCATGGTGTTGTGTGATCCTAAAATTTACAGAGAATCACTGTAATCTGCCACTTTAAACTGTTCGGAGGTGCAAATGCTATTTCACAAAAAGCCTTCGACAGAACTCACCTCCAAAACTTTGCATACATTATCATCAATAGTAAGATTTTGTTCAATAGAGCACCTCTGCTCATTTTGTTCAGTGCAACAGCAGATCAAAAGTCAAGTGTTGTATTCCTTCGAAAACCCATTTTAGGATGTTCGTACCCACTCACAAACCTCCACTTATTGTCAAATTGACGTTTACTGGTATGATAGAGACGTTTACCATTCGCCGCCTGAGTCTAGGTGCATCAGCAGACAAGGAAAAGCAAAAGTAATCATGAGACCATGGTTTTTGCTCAACGCAAATCGCAGTTAAAGTAGACATTCAGTGTTCCTACCGAAGTGTAGACATAAACGCGTGCACTCTCCGAAATGCATTGCACTCGATGTGTGCTTCAATGAGGGCGTTTTCGACTGCATTACTTTTCAGATTTAGACAACTTTATCTCCCATGAGACTAGCTTATTGTGCTGCTGTCAAATAGACCACCCTTTCTAGGGCTTAAGTGAGTTCATTGAAATCGTCTTCCTGTGAGTAGACGAATGCTTTACTCGAGTGGATTTTTGGTAACTGCTTTAATGTAGTTAGGCCGATTGAGGTGATAACCTTGAAATTTACCATCACTTAACCATGTCAAATGGAAATTTTTTTTGCCGTAGGCCCGGTAACGGATAACAGGTGCCACCATTGAACGTGTAGCAGATTTGTAAGGCAAATAAATGTTAATTTGAATTTCCCTCGCCTTTCTTAACACAGACTACTGATGTGTGGTCTCAGCAATCCCCTCATTACAGGATTAATCGATCCTACTCTTGTGGTAAATGGCATAGCAATTTTAAAGCAAGCCCACAATTTACCAAAAATATTGATTGCTATCGATTTCCATCAAACCTACTCATCGCACGTGACTCAAGGGTGCGGAAGCTACGACCGATACGAAGAGCGGACTGAACACGTCCACTGTTCGCACAACATACAAAAAACCTATCCGCCAAAACCACAAGAGATTTTATCAAAATCTCAGTGTATTTTAAGGCTCCACATAGACAAGCTCTGTCTGGAACTCAAAGCCTATGATAAATCGGTGTCTAAGAGGCAGTCGTTGAAGAGCATAGACAAACCCTCAATTTCACAATCAAATAATACAGTGCCAAAAAGTTAGGTGGTTTATAGTGGATCACATGGCTTGCCAACCAATTTGTGGCAATTTTACATGGTCTACAAAACACCAACTAATGAGATGAAATTCAAAATTTATTTGGAATTGTCTGGGGGTTAAAGTATAACAGCTGAAATTTCAATATTAAGACGGAAAAAAGGTTGATTCTAGCCTCGATACAGTTGCTATATCTGGTTTCTTAGACTAAAATTTGCCTAAGAAATGAGGTTTATTCCAATGATTTTGCAGTCCCGTCCGTCATACCTTCGACGCCCCAATCCTTATCCAAGAAGTGCATGGCTACATGAACCCTTAGGTGAAAAGTACGCACTTCCGATAAAACGGCCGACTAAAGTGCACGTGATTTAGGTCGTACAAATTATTTACGTTGGATGAGGTTTTACCATCACCCCACGATCACCTCTTTAGTATCCTAGCTCCATCTGTCCCCAAAAATGCAGACAGGACAGGTATTTTATCGCTAATCACACGAAAAAGTTGACAAACCAATGGATTAGTGAACTGACTTACGTAAGTACTTAATACGAGACACTTCTTTGAATGGTCCCATAAACTCTTAGCGTTTCCCATCTTCGTAGCCCATGAACTTCACACAAGATCAGGTGTTCCATGCTCTGCCTGTACATTCCGTAAACAGTCATTTCTGCAAACTGCATTTGACCTCTGTCCCCAATTGGATGTAGTATCCTGTGATCCAGAGGGCTCGGATTTCGAGAATTGCGTTTTGCATTGGAAAGCAGGAATTTTAACTGATTTCACATCAATGGCATCAATTTCTCAAACAAGTGATATTTCCTTCTAGCAGTGTGCAGTAGAGGAGAATAACGTTATGTGGGCTGTGCTGACGTGCTGTTTTGATGAAACTCAGGTGATAGACACAGAAACCTGAAGGTCATTTTATTTTCCGAACCACTCACTCAATTGCCGATTGACGCGCTGTTTAAGAATAGATAGAATGGGTAGAATTTATAAATATTATCATGGCGGTGAACGAAGCCATTACACTCCAGAAACCATGGCTTCTCAAATTTATAATGTATTATGAAGCAATCCAAAAGTCTCCTTTATAATCGTGGTTGTAAAAGCTAAAAAGGCTATATAAAAGTTTGGTATATTTTAGTTCTTGTTAATTCACCTGATAGTAACGCTATACATGAAGACAATTCGAAAATCAGATTTTTCCCATGGCTAGTGGTGTGTATTGTCCTGGACTGAGACGAGGGTTTTCATGATGGTCCGAAAGGACTTTCGCAATGTGCGATGACCGTAGAAACTTCTGTCTAATTCCAAAATAAGAAAGTAAATCAATTTGGGTAACATCAATGCGAAGTGAGTAAAATAATATGGATACAATTGAACTATAATTAGTGCACTTTGCCCATTAGTAAGAGCATTCTTTCGCTGGTAAGTGGAAGCCTGCAATGCGACTGGTAAAAGGAGCAGTTCATTTTAATTGACTTCAGAGTTGCGCTATGCAAAACATCGATTTATCGATTTCGGAATTGTGGATTGTCACGGTCGCGCGATTTTTTTAATGGCAACATTTTGAGCTGTTACGTTAGTGGAAAAAAACGGGATATCGGATCAGAATGTGGTGGTGTTTACCATTGCTTAATAAACAGTCAATGAAAAGGCATATCTGCACAGAGATTTTCTTTTGTTGCTTTTACAGTTTACTACTGATGTTGATTTACCTCATGACAAGTGAAGTGGGCTGCCAACAATGTAGCGCCTCAAGTCTTAAATACACATTCGGATAGGGTAACATATGCCGGCCACTGGCATATTTCAGTGACCAGGTGCTAGGATCAAGATGCAAAGTAGATCCGTTACAAATCCGGGTGGTAACCAACTAACGCACTTCACTTTTTAGACCAAACTGTGCAGCAATGCCCCATAATCGAACTCTTTGTGTGTACTGATATGTTGATGAAATTGTGAAACTCAATACTACTATAATGTGACTGTTTTTCACT